ATGGTTGGGGGTCACCACCACATGAGGAACTGTATTAAGGGGTCATGGAATTGGGAAGGTTGAGAAACACTGCTTTATTTGGATCTCAGCTCTACTCTTCCGGCAAAAAAGCTGCTTCGGTGTCATACAACTTCATTTGCTGTAGAGGAAAAAAGACACGCGGACAAATCCAGAACGGATAGGATTGGCTTAACATTCACTGATCAGTTTAAAAACCGAGATTTCTCCGATATCTTCCAGAATGTTATCCTTGTATCGGAAATCCTTTCTTTTTTCCCTTTCTTCCCCTGTTGTCTGCTTTGAGCAGAAATCCTGCCATAGGATATTAAGAGCCAGCTATACATCTTCCCACCCCAATTCCAAATCCCCCCCTTTTTTCCTCCCTTCTCTTTTTGGCTAAAGGATTACGCTGCACCCCAGACAAAGGAAATATTTAAACTGTTAAATCTGAACAAAGATACAGTCTGCATATGACTTCTCTGAAGCCCTATAAAAATTCTTTAAAATTGCCTATTCACTCAAATTTACTGAGTGTAGCAAAAATGTCAAAGGCATAAAGTCAGAGAAGATTGAATAAAATAATGCAGAAAGACAGATTAGTCATGCACAGACCCACACAGCCTTTCACGGCACACAATACCACTTTTTATTACCGCTCTAACTTTACAAAGGCTATGCTCAATACATAGAGGATGATACATGGTCAGTCATGTAATCTGCCTTTGATTCGGAGGCTCATTTATCTGGGCCCCTTTCACAAAGACATTGATGAGAGATTTCACTGTTTCCACGGCATTGTTTTATTTATCATATATAATGGTTTTTTGGGGAGGGGGGTGGGGAGAGATGAAGGGAGGGAGAAGAGTGGGGAGGAGGAGGGGGAATTATGTCACAGATCCCCAAATAAAGGAATTGAACACAAGAGGCTTCTTAATACAGTCCTTTCCTTTTTTTAAGTCGGTGAAATAGATACATCGCCGGTTAGCTGGGACCAGCTCTATTGTTGGTGGGCAGGAAAAGAGATTGAAAGTTGGGCTCAAAGCCAACCTTAAAACTGGCATAGATACTGAGAACTGGGAAGCCCTGGCTCTTGAGTGCTCCAGCTGGAGGTCAGCTGTGACCAGCAGTGCTGCAGAATGTGAAGAGGCACGAATGGAGGGTGAAAGAGAGAAATGTGCCAAGAGGAAGGCATGTCAAGCCAACCCAGATCAGGACCGCTTTCCATCTGGAAACAGATGCCTTCTGTTGCATCCCAGTTCAAGAAACGAGACCATAAGATTAAATCCACCACACTGGACTGTAAGAAAAGCAAT